AGCAGATGGGCTGGGGTGCGGGAGAGGGGGCAAGCAGTGTATCTCCGTAGAGATCTAAGAGTTTAAAAATGAGCCTTTTGGAAAATCAGAGGTGAGAGGAACATCTCACCTCATTTTCAGAACTCTTTATGCCCATACATCACATCCCCTGGCAATATGATTATTATTAGCAAATGCACAAGTGGTACAATGAAGAATGTGAAAATTCAACATACAAAAATGGACATTTCTGTTTCCTCTCTCTACTTTATAAATCAAAAGTAAAAATGTTCAAAATGTCAAAAGGGGTTAGGTAGACATCACCTATTAGCAGACATGCCAACTCTCACGAATTAATCGTGAGAGATGCGATTTCTGAGTAAAATTAAGCTTAACTCATGATCTCACCATAGAGCCGTGGCTGGAAAAAAATCCCGACATTTGAGAGTTCTAAAAATGAGGTTTAATGTTACTTAGAAATCCTGCCAGCTGCCCTGGGCAAGGCTGGGGCTCCCGCTGTCACCACCCCAGTGCGGCTGCTCCCCTGCCAGCCTGGGAAGAGGGAGAGGGGCCCCCACTGTAGCCCCCAGGCCTAGGGAGGGTGAAGAACCCCAGGAGGAGCAGAGGTGGGACTGCGAGGGCTTTATTATGGCGTGGGGGGTACAGGGGAGCTGAAGTGAGTGGGGCCTGATGGGCTGGGGGGGCTGTATTGCTGGTGGGTTCTGAGCAGATAGGGTGAGTGCTGGCAGGGTGAACTGAGGGCAGTGGGGTAGGGGTGCTGAACTGATGGGCAGTGATGATGGGGGCTGGGGGACTGAATAGGGGGGTTGATGGGGACAGAACTGATGGGGGCTGGGGGGGGACAGGATTAATTGCTGGGCAGGAGACGGGCAGATGTGGCGGTGAGAGCTCCTGCAGCAGGAGCCAAAACCCCCTTCTCCAGGACATGTGGGCGAGTGGGCAACACTGATTGTCACATGCGCACACCCTGGGGAGGGGCCAGGGGAGTTCAAACATCAAGAGACTGACCTAGAAACCACAACAGAATCCTTTTAAACATGTCATGATTGTTGGGCCAATCTCATGAGATTTGATCTCTTGAAGTCGGCAATACTGTATTAGCCATTGCATAGCCCTGGGGCCAGCAGTGTGGAGTTTGGAAAGTCCCCGATAGCCCAGCACAAGCCGAGCAGCCGTTCAGTAAGTGTGCGGTGTCCTCACCCACCC